ATAATAATAATAATAATAATAATAATAATAATTATTATTATTATTATAATAATAACAACAATAATAATTAGTGCTGGGCAACGATTAAAATATTTAATCGCAATTAATCGCATTGTTATGGCAAAGTTCAATAATGAATTAAAAAGTAGTGTATTGCGCACTTTTATTTTAAAAGTACTGCTATATGAACAAAAGGGCAATGACATTTGGTTCACGAGATGCAGGTAGCATGTTTTATACTTAATGTGAATATAATTCATACTTTGTTGGCATCTTATTCTGAAAACCGGATGTTCGTCTGAAGAAACCGGATGTTGTCTCACGTTAATGTTTCTGCTAACTTTCAAAGTCCTTCGCTCGCTCCCGATCTGTGCAGTTTGAATGCGTTTACCGTGAATGTCAGCATATAGGTGCACTAACATGTAAGTGCCTGCTGACTTTACCGCAGCGATGTCCAGTAGTCTCCAGGGAGAGCAACAGCTGGTGCAGCTTCTCTCTTTATTTCTGCCCCCCCCCTCGACCAGAAGCGGAAGTCGCCTTTTCTCTACGGCAACCCTGAAGGGACATATCATCTCCAATACAAAACGATAAACATGAGACAGTCTGTTACAATAATAATAAATTAAAAATACTTACCTGTGTTTTTTTGTTGTTGTTTTTTAATTATTATTATTATTTATTTATTTTTTTCATCTCAAACGGCTCAAGGACACGCACACACACACACACACACACACACACACACACACACACACACACACACACACAGGATGTTTGCTGGCTTTTATCCCACTGTTCTTGTCATCCTCTTGTTGTTATGTCTATGTATTGTCTCTTGTCTTTCAATAAAAAAGAATAATAAATAAAAAAAATGCGTTAATGCGCGGTAAAATAATTGTCGGCGTTAATTAATGAATGAAGAGTGCCCAGCACTAATAATAATACGTAATAATAATAATAATAATATAATAATAGTAATAATATGACAATAATACTATTAATATAATAATAATAAGAATTCTTATTATTATTATAATTATAATTATTATTGTTATTATTATTATAATAATGGTAATAATAGATTTATCTGTAAGGAGCTTTTTAGGTCATTAAATCAACAAAGTGCTTTGTAGGATTAAAACTAAAACTGAGAATAAAACAAGGGTGTGAAATCAATACAGAATAAAATGTAATTAAAAAGTAAAATAGAAATGATTGAAAATTAGAAAAATAAAATACATAAAAACAAACTCAGAATATATTAATAAACACAAAAACTTAATTTTGTTCATTGAGTTATTTTGAAGTCTAATAATCAATTCATGACGTGAAACGTTGAATAATACATTTTTCAGCAAAACTTCCGTTTCCAGCTTCTGAAATATGAATGTTTTTAGGAAAGTAAAGTGAAAATCTAACATTTATCTATAACTATTGATTAATGAATTGAGTAAATAGTTTATTAATTAATTCTGGATTAATCTCTCCTTTTTTACAAAAAACTCTTTTTTTAATTGAACAAAAGAACCAAAGTTGTTACATATTGACACAGACTCGTACTCACCTGTGCTCTTGTGTTTCTCAGGTAACTCTACAGAAACAGCCACCGTGGATGAAAACACTCACGAGTTCTTCACCGAGTTAACAGAGCCGGGAACGTACCGAGTCCAGGTCACCACGCTGAGCTCGTCTGGAGACTGTGAGGCCCGAGAGAGCGCCGCCGACACCGGCTTCACCTTCTACCTCAGTACGTAACCAGATACCCTCATGTGTCACAGTAATACTACATAAACTAGTTTATAGCCCCATAATAAACTAGTTTATAGCCCCATAATAAACTAGTTTATAGCCCCATAATAAACCAGTTTATAGCGCCATAATAAACTAGTTTATACCACCATAATAAACTAGTTTATAGCACCATAATAAACCAGTTTATAGCACCATAATAAACTAGTTTATAGCACCACAATAAACTAGTTTATTGCACCATAATAAACTAGTTTATAGCACCACAATAAACCAGTTTATAGCGCCATAATAAACCAGTTTATAGCGCCATAATAAACCAGTACTGTGTTCCAGGTCCTGGTGGTGAGTTGCTGGAGGATCTCCGTGAGCGTCCTCAGGCCGTCAGCGTCAGACTGCTGGACTCGAGCACCGCCGTGGTCTCCTGGACGCCGTCCTCAGAGGACCACAACGGCAGCCTGGTGTCGGTGGTTTCTACCACCTGCCTCAGACCGAGTCTCAGCCAGAGGATGGAGAGCACGTACTGCAGCGAGGTGACACTGATCAATACTCGAGGTTCTCTTCATCCAACCATAACAACATGGACGCTACAGAGCTCCATCAACCAACACTGATTATACAAACATAGAAAATAACATTGAATAGTGAAGAAATAACTTTAAGCAGTTCTTTATTGATCATATTTACTTATGATTTAATGGGTATTAAAGACAGAAGCTGTAGTGTTTCTGAGCACCAGAGTCCCTTTAGAAAATCTCTGATTTTGCTCAGTCCTGGTTCTGGTTCTGGTTCTGGGACCCTGTTGCTCTGATGATGAGCATTAAGATTATCTTTAGTCTTCTCTCTGATGATCTGGTTTACTTGTGTCGATGAAAGACTTTCATAACTGGTTAAAAGTTCCTCTCAGGAACTTAAAGGGATGAATTCATGTTAAAACTGAACTGATAACATGAAAACTGCCCCTGAACATATATTCATATTTTATTCATAAGAAATGAATTTGTATTAATTTCTTATGAATAAAATATGAATCCCATCAACACAGAGATGTTATCCTCCCTAATAAAGACTGAAGTCTCACGAGACAGTAACGTGAGACTCTTATGTTGAACTCTGAGGTTTGAACGTCTCAGACTGTTGTTCATAAAACTGTTTATTCATATTTATCACTCTATTTGTTCACAAGACTTTAGGTTTTAATGAAACTCTGTTGTTCCAATCAACAAGTTATTCTGACTCATATTGTTAAAATATGAGTCAGAATATTTGATCTGAAAAGTCAGAATGTTATAAAATGATATCAAACGATTTAATATCGCAGTATTAAACTGAACACTTTGTTCTCAGATTAACACAGCAGCAATAGTTGTAAATGTTTGATTGTTAATTACAACTTTATAATATAGTTTTTTTCTTGTGATTTTAACTTTATTTAGTTTTTTCTTCTAAACTCATAAAACTATGACTTTGTTTTCAAAATATTTTAGCTCATAAAACTGCAACTTTTTTCTCAAAATATCAAAATAACGGTCTTGTTTTCTGGGTTTAGCTTAGCAGCTCCACGTTTGTGTTTTTATTGTTTTATTGTTTTTAACGTTTGTACAGGAAAACTCAACGAGTGACATCATCAGTAGCCTGACCCCCGGAGCTCAGTACAGAGTGGTCGTCTATCACACCAACGGACCACTGACGAGTCCTCCGTCTGAGCCCGTCATCATCGACATCGGTCTGTTCTAGTAGAGATATTAATAAATATGATCGTGTACAATATTTACATATATTTACTGCCTTCTGGATGTGTTTGATAATAAATATCAGTGCTGAAGATCTTACACTGATATTTAAGGGCCTTTAAACCCTCAAATGAATATACTTGTATTTCTTATCAAAATTATAATATAAGAAGATAAATAAAACAATTACACAACACATGAAGAAGTAGAGAGAACTGCAGTTAATCCAGAGCTTTAAAGACTTTTTTTAGGTTTTGTTTTTCCTTAATAAAGTGTCCTTTGTGTGTGTGTGTGTGTGTGTGTGTCTCTCTCAGAGCCCACAGGTGTGCTGCAGCTGGCCGTCTACCCTCTGAGTCCTACAGCAGTGATCCTGAGCTGGCAGCGTCCGTATCACGTCTCCTTCAGGAAGTTCGTCCTTCAGACGTTCTTCTTCAACCCGGTGACGCTGAGCTCAGAGTGGACGACGTACTACGAGATCTCTGCTACGGCCTCAGTCATCGCCTCTGTGGTAACACACACACACACACACACCTTGGTACCAATAGACTGTCATGGCAGGCTCGGGGGGTGAAGTTGTATTCTTCTTTTATAAACTCAGGTAACTCTTCATCAAAATCAAAAGTCCAAAACAAAGAAAAGCATCCAAGTGGAGATGAAGGTTCTTTAAACAGTAGAACGTAGAACATCTGTTCCTCAGGCTACAGGTCTTCTTTGGTTCTGTACTTTACTTTAAGCCGTTCTCAATCAGGTGGCTTAAACACCCACACCTGGGTGAGCGGTGAGGCATTCTGGGAGCTGTAGTTTGTAGAGTGGCGGCCATTTTTTGGTGTGGCTGCTGATCTACAAAGGGAAGGTAGCACCGCTCCAACACCGGCCCTGTGGAGCCTCAAGACCCAGGAGATGTTGTGTTGGTTTGTCAATTATGTATCGGGTAAATGTATGTGACGTGTCGTGTGACGTGACATGTGACACACACACACACTAACACGCTCTTTGTCTCCAGAGGGTCACAGATCTGCTGCCCGCTTGGTATTATAACTTCCGTGTTGCCATGGTGACATGGGGCGACCCGCCACTCAGCTGCTGCGACAGCTCGACGGTGAGCTTCATCACAGGTACTGAAACATCATTATATACCATTATACATCATTATATATTGTTATGGTCCGGCTCTAGAACCACAGCAAAACATCATGAAAACTCAGGCACTGAGCTAAACAAAGAAATACCTTTATTAACAAAAGGCCAGGACATTTCAAAATGCAACACAGAAGAACATTCTCGCAGAATGCCAGATGGTTTAACCGCTGCTGCCAGACACTCCGTGTAGCACACCAGGTGTGTCAGGGGAAGAAGCCAGCACTTCCTCCGGATGGGGCGGGTCTTGCAGGGCGAAGGCCGTGGCCAGCTGCCTCCAATCTTCCTGATGTCCCTCTAACGATCCAGGAACACTGAAAGATAGACACTCCCTGGCAGAGGCCCTGGGCCGTCACAATATATATATATACTGTATATGATCATATAAGACACGACGTGTTAATGTCTCAGATGTCTGTTCTTAAATATAATGTTATTTGTTGGTGAATAATCAAAGTGCAATGATAAAAACATGATATAATATACATAATATATATATGTTAAGTGATAAAGCGTCTCTCCTGAAGCTCCTGAGGCTCCTCACATCTCCTCGGTGGACTACTCTCATGGCGTCCTCTTCGTCCGGTGGACGTACGGTGAGCTCTTCATCGACTTGTCCCACTCCAGGATGCTTCACTGGCAGCTGGTCGCCGTCGGGAAGAAAGGACCAGAGAGGAGCTACTCCATCGACGTGAGACCATTATTCATTTATTTCATTAGTTCATTATTCATTAGTTCATTAATTCATTAGTTCATTATTCATGAGTTCATTATTCATGAGTTCATTATTCATTATTCATTAGTTCATTATTCATTAGTTCATTAATTCATTAGTTCATTATTCATGAGTTCATTATTCATGAGTTCAATATTCATTATTCATTAGTTCATTATTCATTAGTTCATTATGCATTTGTTCATTATGCATTGGTTCATTGGTTCATTATTTCATTATTCATTAGTTCATTGGTTCATTATTCATTAGTTCATTA